TCAGAGGCTGATGCACTGGTCCAGGAGAGAGAGGGCAGTGGTCAGACCAAGGTGTCGATGGAAAGACGGAAGAAGCAGATGAGTTCAAGATACACTGTATTATGGAGGCAGGTTGTCAGACCTTGCTGATGGGGATGAGCAGGGTGAGAGGGACAAAAACCAAGAATAACTTCTAAGCCAGGCACTGTGGTGCATGACTATAGTTCCAGAAGTTGGGAGGGTGAAGCAGGAGGATCTGAGCCTGGGATACACAGTGAGACTCTATCTCAAAAACGAAACAAAACAAAACAAAATGAGTATCTAGGCCTCCTGGGGAGTAGCTCAGGGCTAGAATGCTGGCCTAGCACACAGAAAGCCTTGGGTTCATTTCCTCAGCATTGCAATAATAATCAAAGTTCTAGACATTGGATTTGAGTAAACTCAGTAGGTAGTTGAACCATTTTCCAAGTTGAAATAAATTGGAAAAGGAACCTGCTTACAGGTGGTAGGAGACAGCTGTCAAGAATCTATGTGGGGCCGGGGATCACTGCCTGCCTCACAAGTGCCAGGACCTAAGTTAGATCCCCAGTACCTGAAAAAAAAAAAAGAACCTATGTGGGACCAGCTGGGGCTACATGTTGAGTTCGAGGCCAGTCTGAACTACATAGCGAGACCTTGTCTCCAAAAACCAAAAAACAAAAACAACAACAAAAAAAGAAAAAAAAGAAAGGAAAGGAAAAAGAATCTATGTGGCAGTTGGGCAGGGTAGTACATCGGGGAGGCTGAGGCAGGAGGATTACAAGTTTCAGACCAGCCTGGGCTGCATAATGAGTTCAAGTTCACACTGCAAATATAGCAAGACTTTGTCTCAAACTCCCCATTACTGGTCTAAAGAGAGGTCCAGTATGGAAGAATAAAGCTTTTCCACTAAGCTAGGTAACTGAAAGCATTTCATTTAGGCAAGGACCTAAAAGACAAGGATGCAGGCCTGATAAAATTAGCCTCTGAGCTGGCTGTGGTGGCACACACCTGTGATCCCAGCAGCTGGGAGACTGAGGCAGGAGGATCGCCATGAGTTTGAGGCCAAGCTGGGCTACATAGTGAGTTCAAGGCCAGGCTGAACTGCATAGCGAGACCTTGTCTCAAAAAACAAAAAAATTACCCAGCTCCAGCTTCTGGGGAACATTCCTTTTCTCCACTCCTCATAGTGCTCTGTACTCCCCATCTCAGCAGAATCAAGCTGATTTCTATCTCTCTCTGCACCCAGACTGTGAGCAGCTCGAGGGCAAGGGCAGTAGCTATCTGATTCTTTTTTTTTTTTTTTTTGGTACCAGGGATTCAACTTGAGACCTTGCGCTTGTGAGACAGGTTTTAGAGCCACTGAGCTAAATCCCTGGCCCCAGGTCTGATTCAGTTTTGATCCACCAGCAGTAAGCTTGATACCTGGGATGGAGTCTATGCTTACTCAGTGTTGTGGATGGATGTCATCTCCTGGTGTGACCTGGAAGCTGTTGCTCACCTTGCCAGCTGGGGGCCCAGGTTATGATGCCACACAGACCTGATGGTAAGAAGTTGTTTTGTGGGCCGGGGATTTAGCTCAGTGGTTCCGGTGCCTGGCTTGAAAGTGCAAGGTCCTGAGTTTGAGCCCCAGTACCAAAAACAAAACAAGAAGTTGTTTTGTGCCCCCTTGAAGCCCCAAGAAGGACCCTGCTCAGGTGTTGGGACATGAGGTTCCAGGGGCACCTGCACTGGCTGGAGTGAGCAGGGGCCTTGGCTGAGTTGCTGAGATGGAGGGGGTGTCCCCAGACCTGCTGGGTTTTGTGGAAAGCAATTTTTTTTTTTGGTACTGGGGAGCGAACTCAGGACCTTGCACTTGCGAGGCAGGTGTCGGAACCACTGAGCTAAATCCTCAGCCCGGAAAGCAATTTTTTTAAAGTGCCTGCCACCCCTACCATCCTGTGACTCTTCAAGGACAAAGTCTTGATTGGATTTACTTCTGTCTTCCCAGCAGAACCCAGAAGTTTCCCCAGCACATAGTATTCCTCAATAAAAAATTGCTGAAATGAATTGAAACCCAGTAGCCTAAGGTTACTGGGCAGCTGCCAGTTACAAAAAACTTGGCATATCTCACCAGTGGCTCAATCCCAGGGCAGTGCTGTGGGAGCCAAAGACACAGCCCTGGGGATTCACAGCTGAATGTCCTAAACCCAGAAGCTTCCGGAAGCTCCACCTTCTCTCAGCTCACAACATGAATAATTCAGGACAGGACAGGGGTCAGATTTGGGAAGGGCACTGAGCTCTGATGCCCTCTAGGCAGAGTGACTGGGCCTTCTGGCTTCCTAGATGATCCCTCAGCACTTTCCTGAGCCTCCAGGTGAGCCTCTCACCCAGGGTCCTGCTCACACCTCCAGGCCCTGTGGAGACTGAGTTCAGGTCCCCATCTTCCCTGCGTCCATATTCCTCTCATCAAGCAAACAGCATGGCACTGCTTCTAGGCTGAAACCAACTCTTCAGTTTTATGCCTCTGTGCCTCTTCGCCCATAGGAGCTTTATTTTTTAAATTTATTTTTGAGCATTTTTTTTTTTTTTGGTATCAGGGATCGAACTCGGGACCTTGTGCTTGTGAGGCAGGTGGTGGAACCACTGAGCTAAATCCCCAGCCCTAAAATTTATTTTTAATTGACAAAGCTACAAATAGTTAGCACTTACAGCATGCTTGCCTTTTGGGGGTGGTGGTGGTGCTGAGGATTGAACCCTGCTAGATGAGTGCTTTACCAATGAGCTACACTCCTAACCCCAACATGATTGTTTTTTGTTGTTGACAGGATTTTTTTTTTTTTTTGGTACCGGGGATTGAACTCGGGTCCTTGAGCTTGTGAGGCAGGCGCTGGAACCACTGAGCTAAATCCCCAGCCCTGACAGGATTTTTTTGAGACAGGATCTTGCTATATAGCCCAGGCTGGCCTCAAACTTGCAGTCCTCCTGCCTCAGCCTTCTGAGTAGCTGAGTAGCTGGGATTGCAGGCTTGTGCCACTGTCCCTGGCTCACATGACATTCTTATTAACTATAGTTACCATGTTGTACAATAAATTGTTTGAACCTTTCCTAACTGAAATTTTGTATCCTTTGACCAACGTCTCGCCAACTTCCCTTCCCCCTGATAACTACCATTCTATTCTCTGCCTCTTTGAGTTCAAGACTTAAAAGTCCACATGTAAGTGAGATCATGACTGCATCTGTCTTTCTGTACCTGGCTCATTCCACTTAACATAATGTCCTCTGGCTTCATCCTACTTGTTGCAAATAACAAGATTTCCTTCTCTGTGAAGGCTAATATTCCATGGTCCCACAGGAACTTCAGAATCAGGCTGCAGAATTTTCCTGGAACTCTGCAGGCTTCTGTGAAGATGTCCTACATAGGAACCTGTACTACTGGCCCAGGTACAATTTAGGTTACAACTGTGGACTTCTGATCTTTCTGAAGACGTCTGCAAGGCAGCTGGACAGGGTGGCACATGTCTGTAATCTCAGCACTCAGGAGGCTGAGGCTTGAGGATTGTGAGTTCAAGGTCAGCCTGGACAATTTAGCAAGAGCCTGCTTCAAAACAACCCCCCCCCACCAAAAAATAACAAAGAAAAACAAAAAGGAAAAAACAGAAAAATTCTCAGTGGTATCTCAGAGATCTTTGGTGTTTCAAAGGACCTGGGTTCTTACTGTCGGAAGCCACAACAAGCGCAGGGCAATGGTTACAGCATGAGATTTGGCAAGAGTCAGGCCTGAACTCAAAAACAGTTCCAACACTAGTGTGCTTCGTGGACTTCAGTAAGTCATTTCATCTCTCAAAGTCTTGTTTCCTTATCTGTAAAAGATATTCAAGATACTTACTGCAAAGGAGTTTTGGCGACCATTTAATGGCATAATATTACAAAATGCCCAGAGCATTGCTAGTAAATAGTGGTTCCTTCTCTTATTTAATGTGACAGGCTGAATGTAAACACAGAAACCTAGCAGGTAGAAAACATCCCTCCCCATTCCCACTGTCCTAACCAAGGTGCAGAGCCTTATTACCTTGTATGTGTGCTCATGTGCATGTGTGTGTGTGTGTATTGCTAGGGATGGAACCTAGAGCCTTGCACAAGCTTTGCAAAGGTTCTGCCACCGATATGTACCCCAGCCTGAGGCGCTGCTGCAGTGGTCTCCCTGCGTCACCATCCATACTCACCGGGCACCTGCTTGTCAACTACTTTAACTCTTCTACTTTGACACCTTTCTTGGCTATTCATAATCATAAAATTTAGGCCAAATTTCTCAGCATGAAGTGCAAGGGCATCTGCAAATTATGCCAACACACATTCTTCCCCAACCATTATAGTGAAAAAGAACCAGGGATATGGAATTGAAAACAGGGGTCCAGTCCTGGGATCACCCACTTTCTCCCTATTTGATTTTGAGTAAATCACCTAACCTCGGTTCTGCATTTATGGATGAAAGATCATAACGCTGTCTCATGGGATATGTGGACTTCTGGCCATCTGTCCCGCGGGACTGTCAGCCCAGTGGAGTCAATGGGCAAGGATCAGATGCATCTTGCTCTTCCTTGTATCTTCCATACCCAGCATGGGGCCTGGAACATGGTAGATGGTCAGTAGAAGTTTGCTAAATGAATTAATTTTTAGATTTGCCATCAAACATGTAAAACACCTAGTTACCAGGCTGTTTCTGTGCAGATTACTAGAGCAATGATCTAGACAAATTCCCTCCCTGTCTGGACATGTTCACTTTTTTTTTTGAGATAAGGTCTTGCTTTATAGTACAGGCTGGCCTTGAACTCACTACTGTATGTAGCCCAGGCGATCCTCCTGCTTCAGCTTCCCAAGTACCTGTACTGGAATCACAGGCAATGCATGTCCACACCCGGCGGATGTTCACTGTTCTGTAGCAGGAGGATGGAAGGTACTCCTGGATTTTATTTTCTGTATCATCAGTGCATGTATTCAGAAGGAGCTTAATAAGTGCTCTGTCAGTGAATGAAGCTTCCTCCAAGGCTCCGCCTAGGGCTGGCTGGGTCTAATCTATAGTCTGAATTCCCAGCCTGGGGCCTGGCTCCCCTCTTCCCTTTTTCTCTGCGGGGAAGATGGAGTCTCCCTCGGGTTCTTCCTGCATTCAATTCCTGCAGGGCATTCTCCTCGAGGGGACCCAGAAGTGGGGACAGAATGTGGGTTAGGGGAAGTGGGCAAAAGGAGGCCAGGCGAAGGTTATTCCAGAATGGGCTCAGGCAGAGAGGCAGCCGGCATCCTGGAGAGCGACTCTGGGCCTGGCTGCAGAGCGCTCCCGGGGGGGGGGGGGAGGCCGGAGGCCGGCCTGGGTTAGCGAGTGGCCGCCAGGCCAGGGCGGAGAGGTCGCCGGAGCCGAGGGCGGGTAATGTGGGGGTGTGAATTGGCCTAGGGGACCCTGGGTGCCGCCTGGGAGGAGTTGCAGGGGGAGCGACAGAGAGAAGGCGCTCGGGGTCAGCAGGAGGACGCGAGGTCAGTGCAGAACGGCACGGGGCAGCAGACCCGCGGGGCGCGCTGAGGCGCGGGGTGGGGTGCAGGGCGGCGAGTGCCTCGGGGGGCGGGGGACGGCGTCGGCGCTGGGGGCGGGGGAGCGGGTTGGGCGGCTGCGCCGGCTCCGCTACCTCCGCCGCTAGGACGCTGGGGGTGGGGGGCTCGGCGCCGCGAGTTCGGCCATTGTGGGAGCCGCTCCCCTCCGCCGCCGCGCTCCCGCCGGGCGCGCCCGACGCCGCCCCCGCTGCCGCCGCCTTCTCCGGCCAGTCTTCCTCCCGCTCCGGCTCGCAGGGTAAGGCGCGGGCGCGGCGCGGGATCGGGGCTCCCGGGCCGGCGCGCAGGGTGCAGGGCGCGATGGGGCGCGGCGAGGGATCGCGCGTGGTGGCCGCGCCCCAACCGGGCGCCGTGGGCAGCGGGTGACTGGCACGGCAATCACCGTCCGGCTTCGCACCTGCGGCCCCCTCGCCGGGAACGCAGCGCGTGCGGAGCTGGGTGCCCTGGCGGGGCCGCCGAGAGGCGGACTTCTTGGGAAAACGGGCACCGAGCCCTGCCGGGGCCTGGCGAAGAACCCGCAGGAGCGGGCAGGGCCGGGCGCGGAAGGTCGCCTGCGGGCCCGGGACTCGATGCTGGCCCTGGCTCCCTGTGGGTCCTTCGGCACGCGTCCCCGCTCTTTGTCAGCCACTCGCGGCGAGCACGCGGACCCACCCGCGCCACCGTGTCGCGGGCGCACCCCTCGCCCGGCCGTGGGGAAAGGGATGGGGCGAAGTGGGGAGGCCGCAGTGGGCCAGCGCCAGGGCCGGTGCCCGTCACAGACCCGGCCTTCGGCCTTCGGGATGGGTTGGGGGCGTGGGCGCGCGCTCGATTGAATGGGAATTGATGGCATGACCTGGGTAACCGAAGGGTGGGACCGGAGACCCGAGGTCAAACAGGTGTGTGTGTAAGAGGATCCAGAGGCCGAGCCAGGTAGACGGGACGGATGGTTCCTGCTGGAGAGGCCTTGGCTCAGCGGGTCTTTGTAGTAAAATGGGCGTTTGGGAGGTGAATGGGCGGCTCTGGAATGAAGCAGGTGGTCTGAGAGGAGGAGCATTTGCCTGCCTGGGGCGGAGGGTAGGGTGGCAGCGCAGCCTGAGTTTCCAGAGGTTGGGGCTGGCTCTTCAGAACCTGACCTGGCTATAGGGCCTAGGAGGGGCGCCGGAAGGTAAAGGGGGGAGGGGAACGCTGGGATAAAGGGCAGAGCGGTGCCAGAACCTGAGTTCTTTCCTTTCCACCTCTAGCAGATCCCTTCTTGGTCCTCCCTGGGAAGAGGGCCCCTTTGCTGCTGATACAGGGTGGCGCGCTGACCAGGCAGGGCAGTTTTGTCTGCCTTAGGCTGCCTAGAGCCTTCCTGAACCTTTTAATGTTTCTTTTGTTATCTCTGAGTTCGGTGCTTATGATGGGGATCTGCCAGTGACCCAGGAGGCTGTCTCTTCCCCTTGCTGCCTCCAGGCGGAGAGTCCCAGAATCCAGGAGGAGCTGTGCCAGAGATCCGTAGGGTCCAGCCATTTAGGCCCCCTCCCTGTCCCCACACAGCCCTGTGTGCAGGTATTTCCCATCATACCAGTCGTCCACATCTCCTGCCTTCCCTGGAGCCAGTGAGAGCTGGCTACTCAGGTTGGATTTGGGGCCCTAGGAAGGCTGACAGCTGCAGGCATGCGAGGCATCTCGGCTCTTACGGAGCCCTTGGGGTGGTGGGCCATGTGTAGCAGATGGTTCTAGGAAGTGAGCTTGGCCTGGCTGAGGGAAGGCTGCCCATTCTGGCTGGTGGAGCCCAGCTGGCCTCAGAATGATTATGTTTCCACTCAACTCCCTCTACTAGTTAAACTGACCAGAAAAACTGTACCATCTCCCCACCCCCACACTGTGCGACTTATTCCCGTACCAGCCCTTGGAGTGAGCCAATGAATATTTTACCTACTGCCTGCTGTCTGCCGTGCCAAGTATGGCACCAGCCTGTTTCACTGTGTTCTTAAGATATCTTCTAAGGTAGAATATTACCCCCATTTTGCAGATGATGAAACTGAGTCTCTGAGAAGTGGAGTGACTTGCCCTTGATCACATCAATTGTAAGCGGCCAAACCAGAATTTATACCTAGGTGTTTTAAGTTTAGTACTGTGTCTAATATGTCTGCTGGAGAAATGCAGGAATTTCTATTCTAGCTTGTGCTTTGTTTCATGCCTGCCATTGAGTTCCTGCTTTAGCTTTTTGAAAGTATGTCCCATCTGTTGCCCCATTTTGCTTTTATAGGATTCCTGGGAGCTAAGTAGAAGGGGAATGTAGCATAAGATGCTGTTTATTGTGTACTTACTGGGCACCAGCCAGTGTTAAGCACTTAATGTGCAGGATCTCATTTAGCTTCCACGAACAGCCCTGGAAGGTTAGATGCTAGCATTATCCCCATTTTACAGACGAGGATGCTGAGGCTGAAGAGATTAAATGGCTTCTCGAGGGTCAGACAGCTGGTGAGTGGTGGAGTAGATTTGAACCAACTTTTTTTTTTAATCTATGAGGCCTGTGAACTTAATCATTTTTTTTTTGGTACCGGAGATTGAACTCGGGTCCTTGCACTAGGCAGTGAAAACACTGAGCTAAATCCCCGGCCCCGAATTTAATCTTGTGTGTTCTAAATAACAATAATAGTGGTAACTAGTAGTGGGAGCTAACATTCATACAGTATTTTAAAACATATAGATATCTTTATATATGTTACCTATATCGTTTCTCCCAAATTCCCTGAATTGGTTATTTTTGGTTTTTTGAGGCAGGGTCTTGTTGTGTAGTTCAGGCTGGCCTTGAACTTGCGGTGATTCTCCTGCCTCAGCCTCCGAAGTATGAGACTATGCCTGGCATGAATTGCTTTTGGCATGTATTATCCTTATCTCATTTTGCAGGGGGAGAAACTGAATTTCAGATAGGTAGAGGTCAAGTTAGTGGCAAAACCAGGACTAGGATCTCTGCTTTCCAAGTCCCAGTGTTCCTTGTGTGATCCCTTCGATCCTTCACACTCATCCTTTCCTCCTCCAGATCCCTGCTGTTGGATTCCCAGGCCCTCCTGCTGCAGCTCTCACCTAGACCATGTCTTCCTCCGATGAAGAAACACTCAGTGAACGATCCTGTCGGAGTGAGCGGTCATGTCGGAGCGAGCGGTCTTACCGGAGTGAGCGATCAGGGAGCCTGTCTCCCTGTCCCCCGGGGGACACCTTGCCCTGGAACTTGCCACTGCATGAGCAGAAAAAGAGGAAAAGCCAGGATTCGGTGCTGGACCCCGCAGAGCGTGCTGTAGTCAGAGTTGCTGGTAAGAGAGGTGCCCCGGAAGCTGGATGCTGTGGATGTGTGGGACGCATGGGCCATTGTGCATCCCTTGCCTGGGTGGGAGGCGGAGGGGTCCTCAGATCAAGCCAGCTGGAATCTAATTTATTACTGTTGGCAAAATGATGACAGTGTTGAAGAAAAGCTCAGAAGGGGAAAATCTATTTCCCCTGTGCTAACATGAGACCTGTTCTCATTTCTGGATCTTCTTCCTTTACCCCTCTGTTATGTTTTTTATGTAGTTGCCTTCGTGGCCTGGATCTGACTCTTCATTTACTCTCATATCAGAGAGATTTTCCATATAACATCAGACCTTATAGTTACCTTTCAAGGCTGTATAATATTTCATGATTTTTCCAAGCCCTACTCTTTTCCTCCTACTTTTTGGCCATAGTAAGCAATACTGCTGTGAACATGGTTAAGAATAATAACTTCTGACTTCTGTTGTATTATTTTCTCACAATGAAGTCTTTTGAGAGGGCAGTGTCACTCATATTGCCTTCCAAAAGTGTTGGGCACCTCCCTCGGCTCTGCGTCAGGAGTGGGGGGCCTGTGCTGGGAAGAGCCCAGTTTTCCTTTGCCAAGCAGGTGCACTGGTTATGAGTGTGGGCGTTGGAGCAGAGAGGCAAGATGTTACTGACCAGCTGTGTGACTCCCTTATCTTCTCTGATCACCAGTCTCCTTAAGAATGCCCCTGTTCAGGGACACCGTGCAGAAAGTCACTGCTTGTGCTGAAGGTATCCAGAGCTGCCTCCCTAGGGTGTGCTCAACATCTCCCGAGGCACTGGTATCATAGTGAGGATAGAAAGAAAGAGCAATGCCTGCAGCTAATTTAGTGACATCACCTGCTTTCTACCCGTGGTAAAGTCCTGTCCCTCTGCCTCCTTTGTGTCTCTCAAATAATGTCCCTTCCACTTTATCTTCCATCACCTTGACCTTCCAGCTAACCACCTAATAGTCTTCCCCACTTCTTCCACATGACCAGCAGAGTAGTTTATTTTCATACTTTTTTTTTTTTTTTTTTGGTACTGGGGATTGAACTCGGGTCCTTGTGCTTGCCCAGCAGGCAGCAAAACCACTGAGCTAAATCCCTGGCCCAGTAGTTTATTTTCAAACACAAACCTAACCCTATTACTCAGCTGTTTTTAAACCATCTTTGGGTCCTTCTTGAATGTGGAATAAAGGCCCATCAAAACCAGGCTCTATTCTACCTCTTCCACCCTACCTACTGTCCCCTCTATCCCCCCAGCACCCTGCCATACTGTACTGGAACTTGTTCTCCAGAGGTCTGCAGCTTGCAGGATCCAACTTCCATGCTTTCATTTTCTTCTCTGCAAGATGCTGGTTACCCCTCCTTCTCTTTTAACTGCCGCCTCCTCTGTCCCTAATGCCCCCAGTGGTATCCAGAGCTCCCTCCTCCGCTCTCATATTCATACTTTTGGCTCCTCCGTGTTCTCTCGCACAGTACAGCGGTTAACTCACAGGGAGCCTGTCCCTCCCTCAGGACTTAACCATTCAGGACGGTGGCTTGTTTGTGTGTTGATCCCGACATGACTCGAATAGGTCTTTGCTTATGCTAGAGATCAACCAGTGTTGAATGACTGAGTGAGTGTAAGGAGTATTGAGAGGGTAACGTGACAGATTGTGATTAGGAACAGGCAGTGGGCTATAATGAGAAGTTAGATAGGGAGAGGGTTATGTGGGCTCAAGTAAGCAGGGAAGGATTTTAGCAAGCACGAGCTCTGAGGGAGGAGACAGTGGTGGCAGGCAAGCTGCAGTTTGGATCTACTTCTATTATGCAATAGGGAGCCCTTGGAGGGAGTTCTCAAGCCCTATGGGCCAGCAGCACCAGCTAGTTCTAGAGCTTCAGAGCTGTCCCTAAGAAGAAGGAATGGCTTTACTTGTCCCCAGCCTTGAGGGGCTATGACTCAGGAGCCTCTGACTCATAGTTCTCTCCTCCTGAAGGCAGCACTGATGCTTCCTTCTTCCTTATATGCCCCACTCCATCCTCCACCACTCTCTGTTACTTGTGTCGCTTTTCGATGCCTTTTCCTTCCATCTTCTCTGAGGAGGCCCTGCTGTTTAAGATTCTGAGCCTAGACTAAGAGTGGATGTGAAGGGGTTTAATTCCCAGGCAGAGCCTTTCAGGACCCCACTGGATCAAGTGAAGGAAAGGAAGGGTGCTGGCTTCGATCTTTGTATCCTGAGTCTGTCTTGAGTAGGGGGCTGGGCTGGTCAGGATGAAAATGAGGAGATCACCACGGTTAAAAATAACTTGTGTGCTGCAGTCAGGCGCGTTTCTTCCAAAGGAGAGAAGAGAGGCAGCAGAGATGAGGCGGGACTGCTACTTTGGGGACTGGCTGAAGTTTCTGTGTGATTTTTAGAATCTTGTGGGGGCCCCGCCAGAGTAGTGAGAAAAGCAGCCTTGCCAAGCGTGAGGGGCATGACTGGGAGACACTGAATGCTCTCAGGCTCTCTGCAGCAGCTCTTCTCTTTTGGGAGGAAATGAAGTCGGCTCACCCTGGAAGCCATCTGTG